TTCTTTTTCTATCTTTCTTTTTTGTGTACATTTTGGCTGTTATGCTCTCCCAACTCATTATCACTATTTATTCACTCAAACATTCTTAGAATGTAGAGTAGGTGCTGTAAATTTCCACACCACACCTTTTAAGTCCAATCAGTAGACTGATTTACAAATCAGATATGGAAAGTATTAGAGATCCAAAGGCTGAGGTTTCCAAAAAGGAATTAAGGTAAAAATTGAAGTAAATGAGGTAGGTGATAAAATCAAAGTGAATTAAAAAACAAAATTTGGTGGCAAACTCAAAGGCTACAGTAGGGTCAAGAAGACAAAACAGTGCAGCGGTCTGGGTATCAGTACTCAGGGGTGAGTCACATTTTCAACTGAAGCTCTTCATAGGAAAGATTTTTGAGGAAGAAAAAGAAAAATGCAAAACAGTGAAGCTAAACATAAAATGTGAGCATATTGGTAAGCACAAATCAATAAGGGCTTGGAAACTATAAGAATGTTACACTAAGGTGTAAATGTTCCTGAGGAGCAAAATCTTAAGAGGATTTTACTTCTATTTTCTCTATGGTGATAGGGGAGACATTCTGAGTGACTACAAAAGGAGAAGAGCCCTAAAGGCTTTTATAAAGATGGTTCCCTTTACTGAAAATTACCTTAAAAATTATCAGAACAAAATGGCAAAATTTGATCAGGATGGAATCCCTATGAGCTACCAAATTGCAAATAGGACACAGGGCTATGCTCTGCATTACACCTGATGCTAGGTTCCCTTGTCATGTCCCATTCCTTCCAACTCTCATTTTCCATCATTGGCTGTTAAAAGGAATGCTTGTCTAGCTGAGTAGAGGAGGAAACAGGATGCTAACTGTAAAGGTGTTTTTACTTTAGCTATAGGAATTCACCCGTCATTAAAGTTGGACTCCGATGGGTGGGCATGAGTGGTTGGGAGGAAGGGGAGAGTTGCCTATTCAGCTAACCATCTGCATCACATGCACCCAAGGAAAAAATGTTTACCTGGTGGAGCCACGGTTAACCTTTTTTCCTTGCTGAGCCGGTGCCCTTGGATGAATTCATTCATGGAAGGGGGGCCCTTCAGAAGAAATGATTCTGTGGAGGTGGGATCAGGGGGAACTCTTAATAAATTCTGTAGGTAGGTAGCCCCTGAAGTCCTGGGACGGCTCTGATCACAAAGGGAAGGTGAAAATTGTCTTGCAGGAGATCCAAGAAAATACATATAGGAAACAAAAAAGTTTTACTTTAATTACCTTTCAAAGCCTCACCAGTGACAACATTATTTATACTGGCATTTAATTTTTTTTAACATGTAAATCAAGATTTTTTGCTAAGTGCTTAGTTTCCATAACAGGATACAATCCTGTTTGGAAACTGTGTTGGATACTGGAAAAGAAATTTATTATAGTTAGTCAGTTTGAACCACAAATAGAAAATATTGATATTATTTGATTCTTTACTGAAAGTTTCGAAAATAAAAATTTTACCATTAACTGAAAATACAGGCTAAGTAATTCAACATCCAGGACTCTGTAAAAAGGTCACAAAATCAAGCCACTAAAAACCTTGCAAATGAGTTCTTGAGCAACATTCACATACCAAATGAAAAGGCACAAAAACCTGGTTTTAAGAAAAAGACTATACATATTCCATTCCATTTTACCTCAGGAGAGACATCTCCTTTTAGTCAGTTGTCAGTTTGGTAATACAGACAAAAATTTCCCTAAGAGAACAGATTCATATTCTTGCCCCATTAAAGAGAAGCTGGTAAATAGCACCATTACCAGAGGTACAGTAACTTTTAAATGTCATGTAAAACGTAGCTCCATTCTTAATATCCACCTTTTAGCTAGCAATTTTTAGGTTGGAGGTAAGGGAGAGGCATAATTACGCATACAAGGAACAGCAAAAATGTTGACAGATACTCGAAAATTCTATTATGGTTATTCAAGAGGTGGGGTGTGGAAGGACAGAAAGGAATAAATCAACACAATTATCAAAAGGTTTTGATTTGGAAAAACCAACATTAGCAAGGCCCGTTTATACACCCACTCCCAGTTTTTCTCCTCCTTCCCTTCCTCCATCCTCCACAATAAGAGCACATTAATTTTTGCAGTTAACTAAAAATCTGGCCTCTGCACCATACTATGAAGATCGCTGCATGCATACCTTTTCCTCTGAGTGCCACTGCTGACCCGAATGTTGGGTGTCTGTGGGCCCTGACTATGCAGGAGGTAAGTGTCTATGGTGGGCACGGTGACTGATGCCTCCCCACTTACTTTAGGGCTGCCGATCTTGCTCTTTCCAAGTTTGCCTTTGCTGCGTCGGGACTGCTCGTGGTCAAACTCTAAGTCCTCCAGCCGCTGGGTCAGGGCGAGTTTTTGCTGGATAGCCATTCGTAACAAAGTGTTTAGAGTCTTCTTCTCGTCCTCTGCGGCTGCTAACTGTCTCTGCATCTCATCCAACTGTGTGACATATTCATCACATCTAGAACCCAAACAAATCTCAGTGAAAATCTCAGTGAAATGAAGTGGTGAACTTACGCAAAACAGTAACAAATTTTCCTGGAATTTAGATTTGGAATACTGGTCTTCCCTGAGCAGAATGGAGGTAAGCTACGGCAGTGGAAACTGGATACAGTAACTGATGGTTCATCTCTACAATGGAGTACCTATGGACACACTTAGTAGGCGACATCTTAAACCCCAAGGACAGAGTTACTGTGGAGGCTGCCACGGAGCGTCAGAAGAATGAGCAGTAAAGTCTTGGGTAATGTTCACTGCTCCTTAGATGTGTTACAATAGCTTCTTCTATAGCGTAACACTGTAATCTTTGGAGGAATGTGACAAGTTAGTTATAGAGCAGGCTTGTAGCATGCAAAAGAATAATAATGTTTATAAAGAAAATGCTCATTTCCTTCTTTATCTATATTTATGGGTTTTATTTTGAGTACAGATTGCAGCTGCATTGCTTTCAATATGGCAGATCTGCCTGAATTAGAAACTTGAATATTTTCAAAGCTTTCTCAACCAGGTGATAAAGCAATAGATGTCAAAGAAAACCAAGATTTGCATGGAGTTTGATACAGAGATAGCAGGCTGTCAGGAATCTCTTTATTCAGATTTGATACTCATGCTACAGCAGAAAGAAAAGCTCAGCGATCTTTTTCCCCATCAAAAGTAAAACGTAAGCACATAAACATTTGGAAGGAAAAATTAATCACATAATTATTCAGAGATTTTTTTTTTCTGAGTTTACTTACCCACTAAGAAAAATAACAAATATTCTTCATGCATCAGTTGAGACTTAATGACTTGATGGAGGTATCTAAAATGTGCTATACAAACTTTGAAATTAACACAAGCCTTGCAGCATTTTAAAGAAAAAACAGATTCTAGTGAAAGAAGTTGAGATCCAGGCCGGTGCTATTTTCTTTTTTTTTTTTTTTTTTAAGTTAAATCTCAAGAAGCAGTAGGGATACCATAACAAAGATTAAGTCTTAGTAAAATAGAAGGTGGATTTCAGGACCTTGGGTTTATTTTAATTGCTCAGATAAACAATATTTTTAAAAATATTACAGAGAAAGGCAATTATGATACATAAAAACACAGTGTGAAAATGCACTATTTGGGAGAAATAATGCTTATATAAGCCAGATTGAGACATAAATGTCCCCTTAGAAAGTTTTGATTTCTTTTTAAAAGAACGTATATATACTACACGTAATGCTGACTGATTTCATTCATCAAAGAGGGGGGCACTGAGTATCATCCCCCTTCTCCACCCTGCCCTCTACAGTGGCCAGAGGTGTATATATATCCTACTCCTTGAACTCTCCCAGGCTCAGACCCAGAAGTCAGTTTCTTCAGGTCCCCTGCATCCCTGTGATCCATAGGCACTCAACCTTCTCACAGCCATCACTAAGAGAATCAGTCACAAAGTATGAGCTTGAAACTTTTCTCTCCTTATATACAAGGAAACTGGACAAACTCCAGGGCTCCTATAAAAACCAGGACTTTTTTTACACTTATATCAGCTACATATAAGTTAATTACTGAATCTGCAAATAAAGCCACAGTTATGCTTTGTGAATTTTGTACCATGTTTGTATCTTATAAGATATGTGACTGATATTGTTTTGGTACTGAACTGTGACAGCAAAAAAAAATGGATGGCAAAATCTTTGAAAAGCTCATAATTTTGATGGGGCACCTGGGTGGCTCAGTCTGGTTAAATACGGACTGTTGATTTTGGCTCAGGTCATGATCTCAGGGTCATGATTGAGCCCCAAGTCTAGGCTCTACCCTGAGCATGGAGCCTACTTAAGATTCCCCCTTTCCCTCTGCTCTTTCCCTTCACACAGGCTCTCTTGCTTTCTCTCTCTGTCTCTCTCTCTCAAAACAAATAAACAAATTCTTATTAAGAAAAGGAAAAAGAAAAAGAAAATTTCAGGATTTCGAAACATTTGAATCAATATTTGAAACCTTTGAATCATGCTTAATCACTTCAAGTTTAAAAACAAAGTACAGGGGCGCCTGGGTGGCTCAGTGGGTTAAGCCGCTGCCTTCGGCTCAGGTCATAATCTCAGGGTCCTGGGATTGAGTCCCACATCGGGCTCTCTGCTCAGCGGGAGGCCTGCTTCCCTCTCTCTCTCTCTCTGCCTGCCTCTCTGTCTACTTGTGATCTCTCTCTCTCTGTCAAATAAATAAATAATAAAAAAAAAGAAAAAAAACCAAAGTACAGAACCAATGAATTGTGATAATGAAACTGGTGGGGGGAGGGAGTCACTAATATCTGCCTAATTAATTAGCTGGGCAATGTGAAAATATGGTGATAAATACAATTAATTACATTTTAGAAATTCTAATTTAATTCGGTGTACTAAAGTTTAAGTAATTAGCTGATATAATGAATACTGATATTCGTTGTGATACACTGTCTTTCTCACACAATACTAATGATAAGCACTTTTATGTCCTTTAGTCACAGAAATAAATTTCAGTGGTGAAAATACAGCACTTAGCTATTTTAGGAAGTACGTTTCCCCCCCCTTATCGGAGGCTTTTGGGGGAGGGGTCTAAATCTTTTTGGCACATAAGCTCTAGGAAAAATATCTATTGCATTAATTTAAAAATACTTCTGTGTAAAAGAATTGCTTGATCCACTGTGCCCAGTAGAGGGCTCTGGAAAACAGACAAAACATTTTATCTCAGATTTCTCCTCGGGGAATGTCAAGTGATTTATTCACACCTTACCTTCTTGGATGGCACACCAAACAACACTCAAGAGATACATATGAATTTTAAAGTCTTTTCACCACCTATTGCACCTAATCTTGGAAGAAGAAACTATTACCTTGTTGCAAACATTGCTCTCAGGGATGAGAAAGTCGCTGCATCTTCTTTCAAAGCCTTCAGTTCATTCCTAAGCTTCGTCATCGTTTCGGTCACCATTGCTTTCTCATTTTCGTATTTGTTCTTGAGATTAGCTAGTGCCACCTCAGCTGTCTGAAGCAGAAAATTCACAATGCTTATGGTTTTCATATCAGGAAAACCGATCATACAGACTTGTCCTTGCTGGGTCTATTACTTTCTTTCATAAAGAGAAAGTGAAATTGACTTGGTTATTTTATCTATCTATCTATCTATCTATCTATCTATCTATCTATCTATACTTTAACATGGTTAAAGTGACCTGAAAGCCAGCTGTGAACCAGAGTCAGTATCAGGAGCTAAGGAAATGATAGTAATTCAGTAGATAGTTGATGCAGATGCTTGAGAGTGTGATTTTTCAGACAGAAAGGGAATTGAACTGAAACTTTATACAAGAAGGATTTTATTAAGGAGAAGGTAGTGAAGAAGCATAGTCCAATTGAAATATAACAGAATGCAAATATTCTCGTGTCATTTGTGCTCTGTGGGCCTAAAAGACACAGGCCATTGCAATTTATAGCATGGGTATATGACAAACTATAAATCCACATTACATGTTTAAGGAAAAGAATTAACAAAGAACCAAGTACTTCCTATCTTTGCCTACAACTTCAAAACAAAAAACTATAGTCTAATTTAATTCTTCACAATCTCCATAAAAGCAGAAATTTCAAAATGTTGAATGAATTAAAATACTTGTTTGAACTTGAAATTTGGGCATTTCTGAATCTTGGAATTAACAGTATTTCAAGTTGAGAACTAGCTGACACATAGTAGGAAGAAAAATGTGGACTGAATCAATGCATGAAATCAATGTATGTTTAGGGATTACCTGTTTGATGCACAGTACATTGCATATATATGTATGTATATATGTATATGTATATATACATATATGTATGTATGTATATGTATATATGTATATATGTATATATATGTATATATATACATATACATGTATATATATGTATATGTATGTGTATATATATGTATATATATGTATACACACACACACACACACACACACACACTTAACTGGAAGCATACTATTTTTACAAACTGTTAACCACAGCTTTTCAGAGTGTGTAGAAATAGTCAATACTAACGAAAAAGTCCATTACTAATTTTAAAAAAATCTATTACTAATGGGATTTCTTAAGAAGACTATCCTGGTTTTTAACATTTCTTTTTGTGCTTGAAATGGACAGCCTCAACTTTCTTATGCAAAATGCCAACTTCTATAGAGACAAGTGGATTCTTTTTAAAATTAAAACAATGTTGGGATAGGGTAGTTTGTTAATGTTTTGATTCCAGAGTAGTTTCTCATGAGTTTTAATTGAATCTCAGACTCAGATTAAAATGAGAATTTACTCATAAAATATTTTGGTATGTTCTGTAGTGCTACAGCTCAGTGGACTCTTCAGAAATATTATGGATTCAGAAAATTATCCAGAATGCAGAAATTGACCTGGGGGAAAAATGGCAGTTGTTTAGTTTTTAAATAATCTATACACATATTTACTTCAGACAGGCCATTAACTTTGAAAGTCGTGAAAATGTTGACAGACAAATCTGTAGGAGCCTCATGGTCAGTCATCTAAGGGTTGGAGAGGAGGGAATGACAAAAGAGCAAGATCTGAATTAGAAGTACAAACTCATTTATTCTTCGTAAGAAATGCCCCAAAGTCTCCACTTTGTCTGCAGGGTGTTTGTTAGTTTGTTTATGTGTCCACAGACTGTACAAAGCTTTCTCAGAAGTCAGAAATTCAAGTTTCTACAACCTTTGAGTAGATTTGGTGATGTCTGCATTCGCTACATTCTCCATGCTCCCAGAGTTGACTTTCTAAATAAAATACCTTGTTTCAGCCATAGAGATCTTCACCACCATTCCATGAGTATATCCTTCTATTCTGTGGCTCTCTACCTACGCTTCTTGCTGTCTGGAATGGTTTCTTCCTCTCCTGGAAAACAGCTCTTTATCCTTGAAGAACAAACCCAGGTATAACTGCCTCCATGACGTTTTCTGCTAACCCTGTTAGAAAACGTTAATCCCTTCCTCAGCAACGCTTGTAGAGCTTCTAATGCACCATGTACAACATCACACTGTCATGATCTGTATCTTTCCCCACAGCCTCCCTAGTTTGCGAGCCCTCGTCTGGAAGGTAAGGACTGTGTATTAGTCCTCACTGAATGTTCAGCCTCCCATACAGTTTAGTCCACAGATTGTATTTCATAAACATAAACTGCATATTTCAGCAGAAGACAATGTGCATGCAAAAAACTCTGAAGTATATTAAAAGACTCACAGAGAATGCAGAATGCCTCTTTTAAAAACAGGAAGAGTCCCCTTTTTCCCTTTATGACTGAATCCTTACCTTAGTCTTAATAGTGAACATTCCACAATGTCTAAATATGATGGATGTCATCTGCAGACATGTGAAGTTATTCGTGGCACATAAGCATGATAGCTGTAGGTCCAACATCATTAAAATGTAAACTAAATGCATGGCTAGAAATGTATTTTCATTTTATTTACTGAGACCATAAGAGTTGCGATGCTAATGTAATGCAAATGGTACCGCAAACCACTGAGAGAATAAAAATTTAGCCAGGAATGTTTTGTATTCCTGTATCACACTGAATTCCAACGGTTCTGTTTATACTGCTCAATATGTCCTACCCTGTAAATAGTTACAGGCATGTGTTGAATTCCTACTAAATTACTTGACACTTATTTTTGTATCCCTATTTATTACCTGTCTTGAAATATGTAACCAATGAATGCTTGTTCACAAATTAGTCTCCTGTGGCTTATCAGCCATGCTTATCTATACTTCTGCATCAGTAAAGCCTCTTGACATTTATAGATCTAGGTTTCCAGGTTGTTAACATTCAACCTGCAAGAAGTCGAAGATGTTATTTGAATGGCTTGACCAAGAATGCCCAGGATATTATGTCTTTGATAAAGCCTTATCTATTATGGTATTAGTAATATGGTATTGGTTATTGATGACCACTCTAAGTCACTGGGTCTTTAGACTGTAGCAGTTTATAGCAACAAATTCTTTCACTCTGACCTCAAACTGGAGTCAGTTCTCTCACAAATCCTTTATTCATCCTAATCTTTTCTATTTCCCTGAAGTGATGGCACAAAAAAAGGTCCTAATTTGCTCTTAGATTTATATAAAACATATTTATAGTGCAGACAATATTAGTGCTTGGGGGATAGGCCTCCCATTTACATCAGTGAGTTTATGGTAACTGAAGATAAAGATGCTAGAAAGCTGCATTGTGGATGACATAATAATGGTGTGCTTCCCCCCAAATAAGGGCAAAAGAAGGAGCATTACATCTGAAATCATCCCCCAACACCAGCACTGTTTACGTGTGCAAGAAAGTATTTGATGCTTTGCTGTTTCTCTTTATCAACACCCTTTATTAGCACCCTTCTCAAATGTATCTTTCAAGGTTTACCTGAGAAACAAAACAGAAATTAAAAGTATTTTCCCACCGTTATTTCATAGCACTCCCACCCAGGTAAAGTTGAAGGGTGGAAAACAAAATTCAGTCGTGAAGGAGATTTAGGGATCGGTTACGTAAGGTCCTGTCGTAGCATTCCAACTTATTCCAGAAGGACAAGATCTACCATTAGGAAAATTTTTCTACTGCTTCAGGTCTGACCTAGATGAATTAACATCCCACTGGAACCCAAATTTTAGGTATGTGGCCACTGACGAGGCTAGTGGACATTTTATCTCTATCTCTGTCTCTCTCTAGACCTGTTTGCTCTGGCCCCTTGCCAGCATCTCCCTGGTGAGAGCTGCCATGCCAGCCTATTCTGCCATCCCTCCAGCTCCTGTTTCTCCGCTCAGTGACTGCTGGACTCCAGCTAAGTACTGCCTGAATTGCCATTCTACATCTGCAACTGGATTCTCCTTGGGTCCTGCTTTAACTGCGTCACCTCTACCTCTCTCTAGGGGGGGCATCCTTACTCTCCCAGATCTTCCACTCACTCACTGAAAAATAATTCTCACATTCTGATCTGGCACTGGGACATAGTTTGATTTATTCCGCTGCTGACCAGGAATCTGAACTCTCATCCTGATGCTAATGGACACTCAGAAACCTTAAAGAATTAACCAGTTAAGAAAGCGGTAGCTAGCATACGTTGTCAGTAGGATGAGATCACCTGTTTGTTGGCCTTCAGCACTGCTCTCAGTGTGGCGATCTGCTCCCGTTTGGTGCTCAGGAGGGACTTGAGCTTGAGGATCTCTTCCATTAAGGCTTCCTTGTCTTTATCGATCATGGGGGCCAGCTCCCGTGCCGCTGCTCTTTGACGAGACAGTTGCAAGGACCGGTCTACGGCCTTCTGCAGATGCTTGATTTGGTCCCGGATTATGGCATTAAGGTTGTAGATATTCATTGGCTCTTTGCGGATGTCACTTGTGTCTAATACTGGAGATGATGGTGGGGCAGTAATAACAGGAGAGATTGTGGGGGTCTTGGTTGGACTTGGTTCTTTGCTGGCCTCTGTGTTTTCTTTTGAAACTGGTTCAGATGAGGTCCTTGTTTCTACTGGGGATGACACACCTCTCCTGGCTAATCGTGGAGATAAAATTCCCCTGGGATCATCAGGCCCTTTCAGGCTGCCACTACGAGTGACTCTGCTTTGCCTATAGTAGTCCAGCATGACCCTGTTGGGGGTTTCATTATTACACAGACATACATGGTGGTAAAGCTGGGCCAGCTCCTCACTAAACGTCACCAACTCATCCTGGGCTGTGTTAAGGGTATTGTGATTTTCATTGGCTATGCTGGTCATCTTTTGCAGTTCCTTCTCCATGTGGGCCATCTTCTCTCCACTCTCCTTGGTGGTCTTCTCAAGACCTGTAACCTGCTCATCATACATTTGGATCTTACTCTCATACTTGGCTTTCTCTTCAGTATAGTTTTCTACAGATTTATTATATTTCTCCTTTAAGGCCTTGATTTCAGCTTTCAAATCAATCACCTCAGTTACTGCCACCCTATACTTGCATTCAAGGATCTCTAAGCCATTGATGTCCACTTCGTAGTCATGTGCCTCCTCCCCCGAGTCCCGGCCCTTCTCCCCGTCCAGCTCAGCCTTGAGTTCTTTGCTGCTCTGCAGGCCTCTCATGGCATTAACATGTTCTGTGAGCCGGTGCACCCGTTCATGCTGCTCTGTCAGTGCCCCCTTGGTGTGTTCCAGCTGTGTCTGTGACTCCTGGAGATTGGCCAGAAGAATGGCCTTTTCCCGCTCTACCTGCAATGGCAAAACAAAGTTTGTGAATGACTTCGGTGCAGAGCCAATGATGCACTTGATCCATTCACTGTCAGGCATGTATACGTCTCACGTAACTGCAGCACAGCCAATATCCCGAATACTTCAAAGTAAATTGGAGTGGTTTTCTTATTTCAGCAGTTCTGGTAAGTCAATCAGTCTAAAAGTACATCATTTTAAAAGAATTATACTATGCATATTTACTTATCCAAATTCTCATGCATTATACACATACACTCATGAAACTTGAATGTTATTCAAACAATCTTATTTTTATCTTTTAACACCTTATAGAAAACATAACATGATGTCAAGAGAAAGTAGTTGGCACTGTCTTTATTTTGAGAGCCCTAGGGTATATCTGTTCCTTAGTTCATGTGGGAAAAGTGACTGTCTCAAGGTGCCTATGCATCATCCTTTCCTTTTGAGAGCTCAACCCCAAATCAGATTTAACACCTGAGGCTTCAACTTACTAAATAATACTAGGAACCTTAACCAACCCCTTAAAAAAAATGGAAACTTAATCCCCCAAATAGACATGTACTACATTTGATAGCTTTTAATATAAAAGTCAGAGAACACAGAGTTTTAGGATTAAAAGAACAATTTACAAATCATTTCAATTCCTTCAGTCCAAATAGGAATCTTAAAAATTGACAATTTATTTGAATAACATGACAGTTTTGTTATTATATGATAGTATTATTGTATATTGAAAAATATTCTGGTATCAATATAAAATACTGTCTCATTAAATATAAGTATATAAGAAATTATAACAGGAGAATTTAAAAAACCATTTTCTGTCCCTCTATATGGGTAATCATTATGAATTAAAATTTTTACATGCTTAAAACATAAATGTGCTTTTCAATAAGCAAATATTATTGAGACCTGCTTTAAAGAAAACGGATTGATGTTGAATGTTTTTCTATCTGAAGGAATTTATCAATTTGAACTTTTTAATTTTCCTGGATCATACATTACATCCCCCCAAACTTCTAAATTGCTAGGAGGTAAGTAAAATTATTCTACTAGCATGATAAATAACAATTCTTAAGCTATAATCAACATAACACTAGCATATTACTTTAGGAGATCTATACCTATCTATAAATTTGTAATTCAGTGTAGTAGTAGTTTTTTTAATAGCTTGAGATATCGCCCAACTTCATTTAAAAAAATTTTTTTAAAAGACATATTTATCTATTTTAGAGAGAGAGAGAGAGAGCGTGGTGGGGGGCATTAGGGGGACGGAGTGGGGGAAAGAGAGTCTTAAGCAGACTCTGCGCTGAGTGCAGAGCCCTATACAGGGTCAACATCATGACCCTGAGATCACAAAATCAAGATTCTGACACTTAACTGACTGTGCAACCCAGGTGCCCCAGTAGAGTAGTATTTTTATGATCCTTTGTGGTATAATATCCTTCATATTATTATCATATATAGACAGTCCTCACTTAAGGTTCTAGTATGCACGAATTTCAGTGACCATGGTTAGTTAAAACACCAGTCCCCCAATACACAGTACATTAACTGTGAGCACTGTGTAAGTATAAACTTTGCTGCTTCAATTTACAAAGTTTACAAAATTATGAAATTACCAATCATATCACTTCTTTCAAAGTGTTTCAGTGATTGGTCACTGTGTATCTGTTATTCAGTTCATTCACAGAGAGCAAAGTGTAGCTGTGTTCTCTTGTCTTCTTGTCTCCCAATGGTAAACCCACATGAGGTTTTACCAAAATAGATAGTCCAAAAAGGGAAATGAGAAAGAGAAGGAAGGAAGGAAGGAGAGAGAGAGAGAGAAAGAAAAGAAAAAGAAAGAGACAGAGAGAGAGGGAAAGAAAAGAATAGAATAGAAAAGAAAAAAGAAAAAGGGAGGGAGGAAAGGAAGGAGAGGAAAAAGGAAAGGAAGGAAAGAAAGAACAAGCAGCAGAGAAACAAAGTGATGACAACACTGGAAATAAAACCTGAATCAGATATAAATGGAGTTACAGAAGAAATAGTTGAATGTGACAGTGTTGAGACTGATGTCATTTGAAAGATTTAGATATGTAGCCAAAACAGTTGGTGATGGAGAATGCATCAACAAGAATAAAAAAAGTAGTTGTTACAAAAAGGATAAAAATGTCCTAGAGGAAGTGACAAGGGCACACTAAATGTACTCTCAGAGATATTTTCAGACATTGAAAGTGCAATGGATAGGAGGTTGAAAGTTACCAAACATACCAAACAGAAGTATGACAATTTACCAAAGCATAGAAAAGATTTCTCCTATCATAAAACATATGATGAGAAGAAGGTAAGATTGAACTGTACTTGGTAAGTTTTTTGAGGGTATAGGCACAATTTAAATTTTTGTTTCAAAAGCTTGGATATCTTTAGTATTCTATAAAATGTAAAGTTAATTTCCCTAGTTTTTTGGGGGGGTAAGTTTTTATTTTAAAGGTAAGTTTTTTAACCAGAAAAACTTTATGTTTCTACTTTTTGGATTACAGCATACTAAGTCGTTATATTATTTTTTCATTTCTTTATAGATTTATAACAAACTGTAAGAGAGTTTTTAATTAACATTTTAAAGATCATAAAACAGAGGAAACCTGACTAGCTCAATTGGTAAAAGCATGAGACTCCTCATCTTGGCTTCATGAGTTCAAGCATTGGGCACTGAGCTTACTTTAAAAAAAAAGAAAAGATCACGAAACAATTGAATTTTCTCCATTTCTCTATTAATTATGAGTTTGTTTTGCATGGTTTCAGCTTGCACAATCATTTATGGCCTAGCAGTTTCATGCAAAGCAAGATCTGCCTATGTGGTAGGTCATGAAATTAGAACAAAAAATACAGTTTTATTATTTTAAATTATTATTAGAGGCTTCTGAGTTGTAGCTTTGATTTTATGACACAGTATTTGCCCATATCTGGAACACAATCCACAGGTTACATATTATGGCTACAGAAACCAAAATATTCCCAAAAAATAGTATAACAGGTTAAAAAAGAAAGTCTACTGGGGCTGTAGCATCCGAGAACTCAGCTCTAATTTTGGCACCAACATTTACCTAGCTACGTGGCTCTGGGCAAGCTACCGTTTATGCAATTAAAAAAGGATGATTGAGTAAGACAGTGAATATAATGTTCAAGCTATTATAATGTTAACTATTGTTAACATTTGGGTAGCTGGTCATTCCCAGGACCAAAATGTTTCTTTATGCCAAACACGTCTGTTTCATAGATTTGTATCTGTAGTTACAAAAGCAACTCTTTCATTTCAGAGTCAAGATATATTCTAATACAAATCCCCTTAGCTGGGTTTCACTAGGTATAACAAATTATATTCCCATAGCTGAAGATCTGATTTATCCAGACTATTGGGCAATACCTTTAAGTGAAAAACCCAGGTAATTAGGTAATGTGGTACTTGATGAAGAGCCAAGTTATTTGCAATTTTGATAGAAAATAAAAAATAGGGGCGCCTGGGTGGCTCAGTGGGTTAAAGCCTCTGTCTTTGGCTCAGGTCATGATCCCAGGGTCCTGGGATTGAGCCCCGCATCAGGCTCTCTGCTCAGCAGGGAGGCTGCTTCCTCCTCTCTCTCTGCCTGCCTCTCTGCCTATTGTGATCTCTGTCTGTCAAATAAATAAATAAAAATCTTTAAAAAGAAAAAGAAAAAAAAAGAAAATAAAATAAAAAATAAATCTCCTAAATATTGTTATTGATATTGCATATAATCTCAGTGAAAATAGTTTATTTCAGGAGTTTTCTTTTTCTCTTGAAAATTAAGTGAATTTGCTCTGAAAAGCCTAAACATCATTTGATCAGTATACATGATTACAAAAGACAAAGCTGTTTTTTTTTTTTTTACAATTTTATTTATTTATTTGAAAGAGAGAGAGAGAGAGAGAGAGAGCGAGCACTCATGAGCAGGAGGGAGGGGCAGCGGGAGAATCAGACTCCCTGCTGAGCAGGGTCCCCCCCTGCCCCCCGCACCCCCATGCAGGATTCAGTCCTAGGACCCTGAGACCATACCCTGAGCAGAAGGCAGACACTTAACAGACTGAGCCACCCAGGCGCCTCGACAAAGGTATTCTGAAAAAGCCTTTTAATACATGGTGCCTGGGTGGGTCAGTTAGTTAAGTATCTGACCCTTGATCTAGGGTTCATGAGTTTAAGCCCCGCATCAGGCTCCACACTGGTCTTGGAGCCTACTTAAAAAAAAAAAAAAATCTTTTAATAAAATAAAAATTGGACTAGAACAAAATGTATGGAAGTGTCTCAACCTCATTTTTAGAGGGAAAAATGTTATAATGAAAGAGGTAATGCCATTAGGAGAGTTCCAATCTGTGCTCTGCCAATTCTGATTTTAAAATAACATTTTTTAAGACTAAAAGACAAATCAATCCTTAGGATAGCCTTTCCAGAAAACATCAGATAGAATATTGTCTCTTTCGTGTATGGCTCTTCCACACACTCAGTGCATTTCTGGTGGAATCCCTTGAACAGAGAGTGATATCCAAATTTACACACACACATTTTTCCAGACAGTTATGATTGGTCTGCTTTCCCTCCAAAGATAACTAAATTGTGGGTAATTTTATACAACCCCAGCATGATTATTATTTTTACTCAGCTATTGAAGTTTGGAGTACCTTAAATTGTATTTGGATTTCAGAAGCAGTGCATAAACTATTTAAGATATCTTGCGTTTTCAATTAATAAAAGCAAAGGACTTCAAATATTAAAATTTCTATTCATTTTAAGTGTACTATTTTATTCTCCATTTGTGAAGAACTTATCCAAGAGACACTTGCTGACTTAATTATCATGTCTATAGTGACTAAGAATGGTTGCTTTATTTCTCTTTCTACAATCTTCATCTTCTACCTGGAACTGAGGATTTTAATTTTTTTACAGTAGGACTGGTTGCTTTGCCAGAGAACTTAAATGCAGAATTTGTGAACTCTGTAATCCAGTGTAAATA